TGATAAGTCCAGGCGCTTATGTTAGAAGAAGTAGAGTCTGTGGAAAATCCCTCATAAATGTGAGGAATAGAGAGACCGAAGCGCAGAATGAGAGGAATGGATACTCCGATCGCCAATAGGAAGACATTCCAGAGAACACCAAATCTGGGCATTTTGTAGAGCGCGAGGAATGCCAACGGAGACAATGCATAGAGTTGGAAGTCGGCAGACGAGTACCTTGGTCGTTTGAGATATTAATTATTAATACTGATTAACACAATATATATTTATGACATACCATGTTACTATTAGACACTGTTTTTGAAATACCAATGACATAAATAAAGGCAAGTATAAATTAATTATTTTATAAATATTAAAAATAATAGTTATAATAATTCATACATTTAATGGTGAAGACACGTTACTATTGGGATACATATAGTGATTGAAGTTATTAATCATTAGCAGTGGTTTATACCACCGATCATAACATGGGTCTGATATAAAAGTTTTGACACTAGGCCAAAACGGTCCTAGGTAAATACATAAATTAGTAATCCAAAATCATAAATCATATAAATAATAACTATTATATTTACCTTCTCCTAACAAGTTGTATATAAAACTAATTAAAACCCCCGCGACAATCATTGGCAATAGGCGCAAGTACCTTTTTAATTAATTATATAATTATGGTTAAAAAGTATTTCAGAGAGAGAGAGAGAGAGAGAGAGAGAGAGAGAGATGTCGGCACCCGAAGGCATACTTAGGCGGACGGATAGGAGAGACGATCATATCTTTGTTGACATTTTCGATGACATTTTGTATCTGTTGGTGGAATAAAGACTTTATGCACTTTAGCTATAGAGAGAGAGAGAGAGAGAGAGAGAGAGTTTATTATTAAAACATGTATACCTGAAAATAATGAAATGAAAATAATTGAATTTTCCTTTGCTTTTCTCTAATTTAGACAGAATTGTATTACACAACAAAAGTGCTGAAAATAATATAATTATGATAATTATTAATTAAATTTTATTACATAGAGTGCAATATACTGGTGTATTATTACAATACCTGATATAAACATAAAGTTATCCATAAGTAAAGGATTAGAGAAAAAGAAGTTTCGATAATTCAAAGTCATTTTATAAGACATAGACATATAATAATTGCGGACTTGAATTATAACATTTCCAGTCTCTATGGTGTGAATGAATAATATCAGAAATGAAAGGTATGTTTTCATGCCATCCATTGCTTTCAATTTTTCATATTGTTTTAGACTAAAGATCTGTTTTGCGCTCTTTTTGGCAGAAAAACACCTCAAAATGTATGCAATCGTTGTTTTGCCCACAAATCGGTTGATTAGTGATTGTCTTGACAAACAGTGAAGGATTGTTCCCAATATTACCATAAGTGTTAATGTGGCAAATATTAGACTATATTTAAACAATACATTAGTATCAATTAATGTAGCAACAAATCAATAGTAAAACATACATAGCAATCATTTGTTGTTTATCCAATTTAATTGGTTTATCCCTATATTCACAATCATTTTGAAATTTAATGGGCAATCGAGTGATCGGATACATGACTGCATAAGAATTTTATATTAGATTAAACATTTTAGTAATTTAAAACACTTATAAAAATTAGAATTCTGGCATAATAATAATAACATACTATAACAGTACAGTAGTTGTATAGTATAGAATCTATGTCATTCTTTACAAAAACTTACTTTCATTGATAGCGTCGGACAGGTCTTCGGGTCTACAAGTGGTGGGCAAACAGAAACCACTGATTACTTTCATGTCTTTTTTAATAAAATACTGCATGTATTCCATCCATTCATTTATAGTGTTATTATTTTTATTACGGGAAATAACAATCGGCACAAACGCTCCGATGAGACCAGTTATTAAATTTTTGGCAACAATTGATTTATTGAATATCGTTTCCAAATCATCCCCTCCTTCGATGTCCTCTTTCTTTACATCTAATAAAAAGTTGGTATCCATTGCACAGTACTGTCCTTTGATCACCGGTTGATCCACTTCTTCAGTACTGACAATACTTAAGCATTGATCATAATTACCAATACTCGGACCACCTAGTTCAGTTACTGTCATTTGAAACGATGGCTGGGCGTCAAGAACTACAAACAATTAGTTTAAAATATTAATTATAGTTATTTAACGAGTATTTTAATAACACTAATACAAACGTAGACATTTAAAACAGTCATTTTGTGTCCGCATATTGCAGTATAGCACAAAAATATGTTAATGTAATATTAGTATTATGTAAAAATTTAACACTGAAAACAAATATGAAATCCAAAAATTATTATCTTGAAAAGTTAATACTACTGTATTTGCATCAAAATATACAAATAACATGTCAACAAAAGTAATGGAAAATTTTATTTTTGTAGTTTTCAACAAATTTAGAAGTAAGATATGGCAAGCCTAATTATAGTTAAGATTAATTAACATAATTCTATTTATGAATATAGATTGTTATCTTTATCATGTGTAAATATTTTTAAGTGTAATATTTATAATAAATAAAAATACATTACATTTAAGGGCCCAAAAGTCTCCATTTTTGATACCACTCTGAATTCTCATTAGAGATCGCATACAATTTGGCTCTAAATTAACGCTCATTAATGTCTCCGACAATCGATTAAAAATCCTTTTATTCAATCCATCGGTTTTTGCGCTAATATTACGGCCAAAACTTCCCAAACGACTGACGGCCGCAACCGTTTCGCGAATGGTATTAGTATTATATCTGACGGTAGCCTTGCCTTCGGCGTAGTCTTCGGGAGTCATTATATCAATCATTTTGTCAATTATCTCGTCCTCTGAGCACCGATTGTCTTCATAATCGTCATCGGATTCGCTGTCCGTTTTATTTAACGGCTCATTAGTGTTTGTTTCCTGCGCTGAAGTGTCGTAATCATCGCTTTCTAAACAATAACTACTTTTGATAATTATTGCTATAAATAATATAACTATTGGAAACTTCATTTTCATCATCAACATTAATAAATTACTATAACTAACTATTTATAGTAACAATTTTTGATAACGTTATAACACATTAAATCAGAATAATAATAAATGGTTTTTATATTATTTAAGGAAAGTTGATTTTATACTAATATTCAATTTTTAAAAACTATCACAATTGGTTAATAAAGATTTGTGTTTTTAAAAAAGTATATGCTCATTAAATTATGCTAATTTTCCTAAACCAACTACATTTATAACCATCAGTAACATCCAGTAATGTAACATTTTAAAATCAGTGTAATAATAAGATAATATGATTGTTGGGCCTTTTGCATAAAATTTCTTACAACATTAATTACATCATGTTATTAAAAAATTCAATTTATTAAATAAAATGTCATGTTGATATAAGAATTATGTAGTTAAATACTCATTAAAATTATAATACTCATTTGTTATAATATAATAATATTAAGTGTTAATAATATTCATTAAGTAATTATATAATTATTAGCTAATTATTTAATAAATCTAACAATTTTTTAACTAATAAATCTGAATGTTATAAAAACGAATTGTAAACATTTTTACAATAATTTGAATTAATTTTAGATTTATAAAAAAAAATTATAATTTTACAAAAAGTAAATAATTTATTGATATTATTATCATGTGTTTTAAGCAAAATTAGCCGGTTTTATATATTCTAAAAATATACTGTAAGTATATTAACTATAACTTTGGGTTTTATATCCGATTAAATCAATTAATTGATTATTATTATTATTAAATCCAGAATTAGTATAATTGTGCTTATTATTGCCATTGACTAATTCATTCCCANTAAATAATTTATTGATATTATTATCATGTGTTTTAAGCAAAATTAGCCGGTTTTATATATTCTAAAAATATACTGTAAGTATATTAACTATAACTTTGGGTTTTATATCCGATTAAATCAATTAATTGATTATTATTATTATTAAATCCAGAATTAGTATAATTGTGCTTATTATTGCCATTGACTAATTCATTCCCATTATGATTGTTATTTTTATCGAGTATCTTATCATTTGATGAAATATCTATTTTTATTACAAACTTTGTTTTGTATTTCTCAACCATATTATCACCAGTTAATTGTCTTTTCACAGGTTTTTTGCGTCCGACTAATAAATCTGTAGTCAATGTCGCGAAGGGTTTCGTTATAATGAATGCACACAAAACTGCCGCCAAATATGTTATCATAATATCAGTTACAGTACTTGATATCTAATTAGAAATGTGAATTATTATTAAAAATTTGAGCTAATTTTCAAATATAATATAATTAATTATTGTAAATGTGAATTTAACTTTCAATGCATACCACATAATAAGCATTATAAGTAATTTGTTCCCTTAATGTGCCAATTCTGTACATTACAACAAATATATGTAACTGGAATATACATGTTATTATTAATAATTATTGTTAATAACTATTAATTAATATGTTAAAACTTGTTTGTATTAATTGTTTAGCATTGTTGTGAATGCTATATATAGAGTTCTTAATTTAATAACTACCGTAATTTAGGGAAGGTTGGGTAATAGAATAAATATTTAAGATATTATTTATATAATTATAAATTAAAATTTATATTATTGATACAGTATATTAATAGGAAAGTCATTACCGGCTCTACCGGTGGCACAGGCGTAGAAAAGCCAACAAAATCCCGATAAATAAAACACTTTATGAACCAATAGATAGACGTGTAGTTCGTATCCATTGAGTCGAGTGTATCGATAGCTGAAGTGCAAAAAGTCTTTATTCCACCAACAGATCCCAAATGTCATCGAAAATGTGACCAAACATATGATCGTCTCTCCTATCCGTCCGCCTAAGTATGCCTTCGGGTGCCGACGGATAGTATAAGCCATAAGAATACCGATGATATAAGTCTGAATGTATGGCAGAGATGACCAGTAATGATGACTCCAGGCCTTGATATTGTCGGACACAATATCAGCGGCAAAGCCTTCATAGATATGAGGAGCTAAGAGACCGA